GGTTTTTTTTGGGTTATATCGCGTAAATATAGATGTCGTTAAACCCGCCACGACCCGACAGCCAATTAGTAAGGTTTGACACGTAAACAGAACATGCCAATTCGTTACTAGTACAGCACTAACCGGTGTGTTGGAGAGCAAATCCACAACATTTACAATCCGAGTACCACGTTTCGCCAGTAATTACAACCTGCATCATCAGGCAGCAGCCAGATTTGTGGAAAAATCCTGTTTTAGTGCCCTACATTATTACAGACCAATTCAGACCTTATTGGTCACTCCGTGCCCTTATAAATCTCAACGCTCATCTTACAAAGTCCCATCACAAGGGAGAAACACAAATAGACAAAAAAATTGTTGTCCGTATTGAAACGGCTATACGCCACCGTATGGACCTGAAAACTCAATTTCCCTGTACAAGAATACCGATAAACCGTATGAGTTGAAAGGTGTGCATACCCAATCTCACAGACCACATCGATAAATGCCATACACACACACCACATACTCTATATTGAAATGCATCACACTCACCTCCTGTATACAAAGATGTGTACCCTATATTAACAATCGTCACACTCACCTCCCGTACAGCCACCACTCTCAACACACACGTCGCCTTGCAGATATCCACTGCTCACAACCATGCAAACCAAGAGCACAACAAATCCATTCGCTCCCACCAAAATATGTTTTATTACCCACACAGCAGAGAGAGAGACAGAGCATTTTACTGGTAGGAACCACCTGGTTCCACCAGCCCACAACGAATTATTGTGTCCGTCCGTCCGTCGTGCAGGGAGGGGCTGGGTGGGGAGGGTGAGGCTGGGTGGGGGTGGGAGGGGTGGGGCTGGGTGGGGGTGGGGCTGGGTTTGGAGGGTGGGGTTGGGTGGGGAGGGGCTGAGTGGGGAGGGTGGGGCTGGGTGGGGGTGGGGCTGGGTGGGGAGGGGCTGGTCATCCCGTGGGTGCCCTTATAAAACTCAACGTTTAACCTACTCACGCCGGCTTGTGCCCGCCCTCACAGTCGGGCATATTTGCGGAATACACCACGCCGTCGTTGACCCTGGCCATTGACCGAGCAACCCAACGTTCCTACCAGCTCCCTTCGCAGGAATTTGTTCATGATACATAGTACAAAGACCTCCCGTGTCGCCTTTAACAGACTGCTGTGGAGAGCGCTTTTGGCGAGCACCTATTGAAGGCAGAAAAGGAAACACGAGGGGGTGGGGGTTGGCCAGCACCACCCCCGGCCACCTTTGTCTCCCCCACTGGCGATGTTTACTACACACCGCACCAGATACTCATTTCAGGCTGAGTCGACCTAGGGGGAGGCCCAGGACCGGTTCAGGATAATCGTCACTGATGGTGTTGGCCGTGAGCGGGAATCGAACTCTTGGTCACCGGGTTTCGTAGTGCAGCGCGCTAACCGCTGCGCCACCGCTCCCCACATATAACACAAACACACCACCACGATACCCATCAGAACGACACATTACAGGATGTATTGCGTGGGCTACCAGCGCACATCGCACACGGATATATGCAGCTCTAATTTGTTATTCACACTTTTGAGCGTACCGAGCCACAAACACACGGTACACATCTCAACAAATACTTTATTACATTCTCTCCAACGTAATACACGTGACACCATTCCCCCACTTCCTTACACACAATTATCCTGTACCCCCACAACACACCCAATAGCCACACTTCCACGTGTCGCACAAAGCACCACAACTCCATCATCACACAGCCGTCACTTTCCCCATGAACCTACACACCCACTAACCATACCACACACACACACCACACCCTATCCACATAGTACCACTACAACACCCACTATGCACATTACGAACACGTACACACTATCAACAAAACTCTCAAACATAATTCGCGACGTTTCGGGCCACGGCCCTTCTTCACAGCAGTTCCACAACACGGCACGCCACAGTCACCCCCCCCCCCCCGGCACGGCGAAACAAACACGACGCCAAACTCCAACCCCAACAACACTGGCCAGACCCACGAGCCAGAACCTCTCTGTCACCCTCTCTCTGTCTCACCCTAACCCACCACACACACAACCACCCACACACAACCACCCACACACAACCACCCACACACAACCACCCCCCCCATACACACCCCCACACACACAACCACCTTCACACACAATCACCCCCACACACACACAACCACCCACACACACAACCACCCCCCCCATACACACCCCCACACACACAACCACCCACACACAACAACCACACACACACACAACCACCCACACACAACCACCCCCCATACACACCCCCACACACACAACCACCTTCACACACAATCACCCCCACACACACACAACCACCCACACACACAACCACCCCCCCATACACACCCCCACACACACAACCACCCACACACAACAACCACATACACACAACAACCACCCACACACAACCGCCCCCCCATACACACCCCCACACACACAACCACCTTCACACACAATCACCCCCACACACACACAACCACCCACACACACAACCACCCCCCCATACACACCCCCACACACACAACCACCCACACACAACAACCACACACACACAACAACCACCCACACACAACCACCCCCCCATACACACCCCCACACACACAACCACCTTCACACACAATCACCCCCACACACACACAACCACCCACACACACAACCACCCCCCCATACACACCCCCACACACACAACCACCCACACACAACAACCACATACACACAACAACCACCCACACACAACCACCCCCCATACACACCCCCACACACACAACCACCTTCACACACAATCACCCCCACACACACACAACCACCCACACACACAACCACCCACACAAAACCACCCCCCCATACACAGCCACACACACAACCACCCCCCCCCCCCCACACACACAACCACCCCCCCACACACACAAACCCACACCAACCACCCCCACACACAACCACCCCCCCATACAACCACCCCCACACCCCCCCCCCCCATACAACCACCCCCCCTCCATACAACCCCCCCCCACAACCCCCCCCTTCACACACACCACCCACAGCACACAACCACCCCCCCCCGGGGCAGCAGCAGCATCACCACCATCATCACCACCACCATCATCACCTCATCATCACCACCACCACCATCATCATCACCAGCATCATCATCACCACCACCACCATCATCATCACCTCCATCATCACCACCACCACCATCATCACCACCACTATCACCACCATCACCACCACCATCATTACCACCACCACCATCATCACCACCACCACCATCACCACCACCTCCACCAGCCATCTGAGAGGCGACAAGGAAAGGAAGTGGTGGCTGGGGTATGGTGGTGTTATTATTGCGGGTGAGAGAGAGAGAGACAAGAGAATAAATAATAACATCACAACGCAGCAGCAGCAGCGACCCTGCTTGGATATCCGCCAGCAATAGCGCCCGGAGCTGGCACGGCGTCAATTCTTGTCTCGTTTAGCGGCGGCGTTTTGATATTATTGGTGCGGGCATCGTAGATGTGGCTGTAGGAGCGGGCGATTCGTGGTGTCTTTGTGTGTTGTTGTTGTTGTGAGTGGCCGGGACATGCGACATTAAAACAACGATAACAACAAAGGAGGGGGGGGGGGGGGTAAACAACTCATGGTCATCCACCTCTGGGGAGGGGGAGGTGGTTATCTTTTTTGTTGTTGTTGACAGCTTTGTAAGAGTTTTTGTTGTTGTAATACAGAAACTGCTGTAGGTTAATTGAAATATTTTAAGGGATGGGGGGGGGGGGTTATCTTGTGGCTGGTATGGAGAGAGAAGTGTTAAGAGAAGTAATATTTAATCAAATCCACCGACATTACACAAATTAAACTCCGTGTGTGTGTTGTGTGTCTTTGTGTGTGTCACACGCAGAGTTAAGCGATGAACAAAACAACAGCAGCAGCGCCACAGCTTGCGTGACCCCGTCACATAAACCACCATCACCACCATCATCATCACCACCATCACCACCACTACCACCATCATCACCACCATCATCACCACCATCACCACCACCATCATCACCATCATCACCACCACCACCATCATCACCATCATCACCACCACCACCATCACCACCACCATCACCACCATCATCACCACCATCATCACCACCACCACCACCACCATCATCACCACCATCACCACAACCATCACCACCACCATCATCATCATCACCACCATCATCATCACCATAATCACCACCACCATCACCACCACCATCATCACCACCACGACCATCATCATCACCACCACCACCATCATCATCACCACCACCATCATCATCATCACCACCATCATCACCATCACCACCACCACCACCACCTCCACCACCACCATCACCGCCACCATCATCACCACCACGACCACGACCATCATCATCACCACCATCATCATCATCACCACCACCATCATCACCACCACCATCATCATCATCATCACCACCATCATCACCATCACCACCACCATCACCACCACCTTCACCACCATCATCACCATCATCACCACCACCATCACCACCATCATCACCACCACCACCATCATCACCACCATCATCACCATCATCGCCACCACCACCATCATCATCAACACCATCATCACTATCACCACCACCACCATCATCATCACCACCACCATCATCATCATCAACACCATCACCACCACCATCACCACCACCATCATCATCACCACCACCATCACCACCACCACCATCATCACCACCAACACCACCACTACCCAACCACTACCCCCACACCAACATCGCGTTTCGCCGCCGTCTCTTCCGATCGCCACCAACGTGGCCGCCGCTGTCCGGGGGTGGTGGGGGGTTAAAAACAAGAGAGAGAGAGAGAGAACGAGAGAAAGAGAACGAATCCAGGGAGCCACCGCCACCACCTCCACCCCTCCCTCCTCCATCTTCATCCCGCCTCTGAACATCTCTCAGCAGCAGCAGCAACAACAGCAGCAGCAGCAGGAGTGTGGAGTAGCAGCAGCAGCAAGAGAAGCAGCAACAACAGCAGCAGCAATAGAAGCAGCAGCAGCAAGAAGAAGAAGAGAGAGGGAGGAGGATGAGGAGGAGCTGAGCTGTGCGAATCGTCGCCGTTTCGCAGCAGCAGCAGGAGCAGCAGCATCAGCAGCATCATCAGCATCAGGAGGAGTGTGGAGTAGCAGCAGCAGCAGCAACAACAGCAAACAGCAGCAGGAGGAAGAAGAAGAGAGAGAGAGAAGGAGGAGGAGCTGTGTGAGTCGCTGTTTCGCAGCACCACCACCACCACTGCTTGTGGTGCTTGTGGTGACGCTGCTGCTGCTTGGCAGGGCTCGCCATGGCGAGCTGCCAACAGCAGCGGCCACGGCGGCTCCCAAACCTCCTCCTCCTCCTCCCCACCACCACGGGGATCCCACCACCACCACCGCTGCTGCTGCTGTTGAGACACATGCTGCTACTGCTGCTGCTTCGGACAGGTGAGACGACGATGGGACGACGATGGGACGGTGAGGACGACTCTTGACTCTGTGGGTCGTCGTCTTCTTCTTCTTCTCCGTCGTCGTCTCGATTCGCTGTCTGCGTTGCGCTTCTTGGTAGCGCCGACTTTGACAAAGCACGGAGACGTGCTCGCATACAGCAGTCTTGTTACATACTACTACAGTACACACACACACACAACTATACAGTCTATACACAACAATACAGTACATACACAACAATACACACACAACTATACAGTCTATACACACTACTACAGTACACACACACATACTACTATACAGTCTATACACACTACTACAGTACACACACACAACTATACAGTCTATACACAACTATACAGTACATACACAACAATACAGACTTTACACAATACTACAGTACACACACACAACTATACAGTCTATACACAACAATACAGTACACACACACAACTATACAGTCTATACACACTACTACAGTACACACACACACAACTATACAGTCTATACACAACAATACAGTACACACACAACTATACAGTCTATACACACAACTATACAGTCTATACACACTACTACAGTACACACACAACTATACAGTCTATACACACTACCACAGTACATACATACAACTATACAGTCTATACACAACAATACAGTACATACACAACAATACAGACTATACACAATATTATACAGTCTATACACAATACCACAGTACATACACAAGACTACAGACTATACACAATACAGATTGCAGTCCTGACACAAGACGACAGTCCATACACAAGACTATACAGTACATACACAATACTACACAATCTATACACAAGATAGGTACAGAGACTTATCCAGCAGTCAGATTACAGTCTATACAGACTGCAGTGGGTACGCAATGCTTGGAGAGAGGGAGTATGTGTGAGTGTGTACACAGTGCTGTGTGTGTGTGTGTCTGTGTGTACACGATGTGGTGTGTGTGTACACAGTGCTGTGTGTGTGTGTGTGTGCACAGTGTTGTGTGTGTGTACACAGTGCTGTGTGTGTGTCTGTGTGTGTACACAGTGCTGTGTGTGTGTGTGTCTGTGTGTACACGATGTGGTGTGTGTGTACACTGCTGTGTGTGTGTGTGTGCACAGTGTTGTGTGTGTGTACACAGTGCTGTGTGTGTCTGTGTGTGTCTGTGGGGAGCGGTGGTGTAGCGGTTAGCGCGCTGCGCTATGAACCTGGCGACCCGGGTTCGATTCCCGCTCACGGCTAACACCAGTGACGATTATCTGAACCGGTCCTGGGCCTCCCCTAGGTCGACTCAGCCTTAAACGAGTACCTGGTGCGGTGTGTAAACATCGCCACTAGGGAGACAAAGGCGGTCGGGCGTGGTGCTGGCCACCCACCCCCTCGTGTGCCGTTCCGGCCTTCATAGGTGCTCGCTAACAGCACTTGCCCCTACAGTCTGTTCAGGCTATACGGGGGATCTTTGTCTTTGTCTTTGTCTGTGTGTACACGATGTGGTGTTTGTGTGTGTGCACAGTGTTGTGTGTGTGTACACAGTGCTGTGTGTGTACACAGTGCTGTGTTTGTGTGTGTGCACAGTGTTGTGTGTGTGTGCACAGTGTTGTGTGTGTGTACACAGTGCTGTGTGTGTACACAGTGCTGTGTGTGTACACAGTGCTGTGTGTGTGTGTCTGTGTGTGTACACAGTGCTGTGTGTGTGTGTCTGTGTGTGTACACAGTGCTGTGTGTGTGTCTGTGTGTACACAGTGCTATGTGTGTGTGTCTGTGTGTGTACACAGTGCTGTGTGTGTGTGTGTGTACACAGTGCTATGTGTGTGCACGGTGTGTTGTGTGTGTACACAGTGCTGTGTGTGTGTGTCTGTGTGTGTACACAGTGCTGTGTGTGTGTCTGTGTGTGTACACAGTGCTGTGTGTGTGTCTGTGTGTGTACACAGTGCTGTGTGTGTGTCTGTATGTGTACACAGTGCTATGTGTGTGCACGGTGTGTTGTGTGTGTACACAGTGCTATGTTTGTGTGTACACAGTGATGTGTGTGTACACGATATCTATGTGTATGTGTACACGATGCTATGTGTGTGTGTAAACGATGCTATGTGTGTGTGTGTACACAGTGCTGTGTGTACACAGTGCTATGTGTGTATGCACGGTGTGGTGTGTGTGTACACAGTGCTATGTGTGTGTGTACACGATGCTATGTGTGTGTGTGTACACAGTGCTGTGTGTGTACACAGTGCTGTGTGTGTGTGCACGGTGTGGTGTGTGTGTGTACACCATGCTGCGTGTATGTACACGATTATATCTATGTGTGTGTACACGATGCTATGTGTGTGTGTACACGATGTGATGAGTGTGTTGCACGCACTATAGTCGTGTTCTTTGTTGGGATAAGCTCGCCAATAGCACAGCAGCGACTCGCTTCCCAAGTGGGTCCAGCATGGAAGCCTTCACTTCCTTTGTCTCCACGTGCAGCAAGCGTGCGGGTCGTGCACGGCACACGTGTCGTCTCCATGTCGTGCACAACACGTGTGTCTATGTCGTGTGTCCTTGTTGTTGTGTGTCCGTGTTGTGTACGGCACCGTCTCTCCTCGTGGTGTGTGCTCGTTGTAACCTACTGCTCGATGTTCCACATTCGTGTTGTACTTTGTCCCCACACTGGTCCAAAGCTAAAAGGGGAATCTGTAATCGTATCGTCATGTACCGGTGGTCAGCATAGGGCAACTTCTATGCTTCCCCGTGTGTGTACTTCCTACACACACACACCCCACCACCACCTTCGCCAACCCCGCACTGACCAGCGTGGATGAAGTATGGTCAAATAACTCCCCGACGAGACCTGCCCTGCACCACCAAGGGGCAATGACATCGAGCATTGGATTGACAAAAGGGCTTCACTGCATGCCACTGTAAAGACCTATATCGACAGTATAATATAATGTTGTATACCCACAACGGTGTAGGAGAGAACGTGTTTACATAATGTATGGGGACACTGGCAGACAGCACCATGCATACTAAATCAGGGATCTTTATGTGTGTGTGTGCTATGCTGTGATCTAGTGCATGTGCATGGAGATGTGTACACGTGTGTGTATGTACACGTGCAACACTATGCATACTAAACCATGGTTATTTACGTCTGTGCTTTGGTATGTGTACACACGTGGTAGTGCACAACACGTACACGTGTGCTAGGGAGTGTAAGGTGATACGTGAAGACCTTTGTTTACAAGAACAATACTTGCCTATGAGTATGTGAATATATCCAAGTATGTGTATAGTACAAAGTATATCCTGGGATGAAGAACGATGTACACTGGACTTGATGGACGTGTTGCTGAACTATTACAGAGCGGTGTGCATATGCAGTGTACCATAATGTCACTCCCACAAAGCCTACACATAGTGTGTATATATATTCACTCTACACGATGGTATGGACCAGTACCTTGCCATTAGGTTAGGCAAAGGAAGTTCGTTAACAACCGATGGGTTCTTGCTTTACTGCCCTCTACTGCCCGCCACGTAACCCCATCACCCTTTGTCACTGGAAATTTCTGACACGTTTGGGCCCTCCGTGGTTACATAAGGGTGGCAATGCAGCAGGCAGTGTGCGTGTGTGGCTACAATGCATACAATCGTGGACATATCCTGTGACCATGAACCGTTCATATATTAAGTCGCCCTATATTATTAGTATTATTGCCCAGAAACGTGCCCGGCATTTGTCACGTTTCGCAAGCTCAGCAGGGTTTTAATTTTGTGTTGAGCCTGGATAGTGCTTCGATGGGTGGGTGACTTCACAACAATGCACACATGCACAGGGCTTGTTGGCGTAGGGGTTGTTTGGTGGCTAGGAGATGTTATCTCCCTCGCTTGGTATGCAGGGGGGTCGTGGGTTCTGATCCTGACCCGGACGACGATGCCTGTGTATTTGTAGTTTGCGTGTTCTCTCTTTCTCTCTCCATCTCTCTCCTCGTGGTCGTGTGGATTTCTCTCCCGGTTCCGGCCGGTGTTTCCATCCACATTTCAGAATCGTCATTTCAACTGGAGGAATCCGACGAGATGTAAAACTTCTCACGGACAGGAGCTTTTCGTAGATGTCCATTTAGAAAAATGCGTTTAGATGATTTGGCTGCTACAGATTTCCACATGATACGCCACTTCCTTGAGTTGGCATTTATGGCCAGGTCGCTAATGAAACAGACTGCTTAAAAAAATAGCAGAGATCAGCGCAGCAAAACTTGATTATCCATGCACTGACATTATTTCAATGCTCCCTAATTCACTTTGCTCCCCCCCCCCACCACCACCCCTCTCAACATAAAGTATCGTGAGACGACCCCTGCCGGCCATGTGCAGACCCCCTCAACCAGCAGTGGATTTTACACGAGGGCCCTTGTGCATAGTGCCACACACCACACACCACGCCATGGTTTGATTTGAGTGTGTGCACGGAGGAGCGGTGGCGCAGTGGTCAGCGCAACTGCTGCTACGAACCTGCTGTCACACCGAGTTCCATTCCCGCTCACGGCTATCATCGGTGTCGAACATCTTTAACCGGTCACTGGCCTCCCAAACAAAAAAGCCAAGCGTCACAAAGACAGCGGATGAGTGTGGTGCCGGCCACACCTCCCCATATTTGTGCCTTGTGCTTCCCATGATCCCTTTTGTGCCTTGTGCTTCCCATGATCCATTTTGTGCTTTTTGCTTCCCATGATAGGTGCTCGCGAGCACAGCACTCGCCACAACAGCCCGTGGAGGCTACACGGGTAATGATCTTTTGCCGGGTCCCCTATCTGGAACTCTTGCTGCGTAAAGGCGGGAACACCACATGGGCTGCGAAAGAGAGAAGGAATATAAATAATTAAACTCGTCTTTTGTTGTGCCCGATGCTGCTGCTGCTGCTGCTACTGCAGCAGCCCGAATGTCCGTGTGCTTTTTGTGTAACCATCATTTGCCTTCCCCCCCCCCCTATCCCGCTGTGC